TGGTGTCCAGGAGATGAGAAAAATGGATGGACTGGAGATAAATAAGGTGTCCCCCCAAAATGTTTACACACTTTGAATAATTATGAAGGCAGTGTTTACTAAAGTTCATTTTCAAAATTGAACTATCAGCTGTTAAAGGATGTATACAATTTTTGAGGACACCCTGGCAGAAAGGACAGAACTTGCAGATGAATTGGGAGAAAGGGAGACAAAAGAATTCCTAGAACCACTGCTAGTACACGCCTAGGTTTGGAGGAATGAATTAGTGAGTCTTCTATTTTTCAGGACAGTGTTTCCCAACTGTTGTTATGTCCTGGCTTTTGCAGAAAAAGCATTCGTATGGGACGTGGCTGGGAGAGCTGGCCGCAGGGACTTCAACCCCCCAGACCCCATTGGCCACACAGAGCAGTCTCAGCAAGCTTGTACCCTCTCACGCAGTGTGCCCATTGGGAAGCTCTGCTCTGGGGGAGAATTTTTTCAGCTAGAGCCAAGTGGGTGCTGCAAAGGGCCCAAGGAGAGAGGTGCAGCAAGCCCTCCCAGGGTCAGGCAGTGTTTAAGAAACAGAAGTAACAGGTTTCTAGAATTCAGGGCTGAGACAGATTCAGAATTGACTTTGTCCATCCCTCTCACCCCTGTCTTTACATAGAAGCAGAAGGGACTTGTCTAAGGCACTCATTCATTTATTCCATTTACCAAGTACAAGTGCGCACAGCTGTGTGAGGTGCCCCTCTACAGCGCTGCCATGGCCAGAGTGTGACCACACCCTGGCACCCCAGTCTGTGACCGGAGCATATGGAAACAGAGGGTAGCCCTGGCGGGTTTTGCTCAGTGGTTAGAGTGTTGGCATGAGGACTGAAGGGTCACGGGTTTAATTCCCAGTCAAGGTCAAGGGCAAGTACCTCGGTTGCAGGTTCCCTAGCCCCTGTAGGGGCGCATGCTAGGGGTGTGTGTGGGAGGCAACCAATCCATGTGTCTCTCCCATCGATGGTCGATGTTTCTTTCTCTCTCTCTTTCTCTTTCCCTCCTCCCTCCCTTCCACTCTCTCTAAAAATCAATGGAAAAAAATGTCCTCGGATGAGGATTAAAAAGAAAAGAAAAAAAATGGAGGGTAGGACACTTTTATAGCAATTTGATATCTAAGCATGTGATTGTTGGGCTTGCAGTTTCTATTTCTGTCTTTTTAAAAAAAGTAATTTCTTTTCTTTTCTTTTTTTTTTTTTAACCAAAGTACTCGCTCAAGATGGATTGAGGACCAAAATAACAACAACGCTTCCTTGGCTGGAAGCATTTGCTTCAGGGAGTAATTCAGTCACGTGACCACTAGGGCTGCCTGTCTCCTCTCATTTCCTTCTGATCTCCTTCCTGTCAGAAGCGCTAAGATGGTCTCAGAGGTTTCAGGACCCCGTTTCATTCTATACCCTCTGCTCTGTCATGAAAAGAAGATGATCTGTATTGTGGCCTTTAGCCTTTTGCTTTTCTGTAAGTACATTCACTTGCTGATGTTCCTCTTGTTCTGCCAGCCCATTTCCCTTTCTTTGACTTTCAACGGCTTGGCGTCTTTCTCTCTTACACTAGTTTTCCAGTTATTCTCTGCCTTTGACCTTTATCTCTGTGTCCTTCTCCTGCCTCTGCCCATTGAGTTCCCTCTGGGCGGGCTTGTGCTGCACCCAGTGGCTGGGGGTGCAGGACTTCACTATTTCCTCGGTTCTTCTCTTCACAGACAAGGGCATGCTGTGTAACAAAGTGACCCAGAATTCCCTGGACCAGACAGTGGCAACTGGCAGTGAGGTGACACTGCTCTGTACTTATGACACCCAGTACTTAAATCCAGATTTATACTGGTACCGAAAAAGGCCAGATCATTCCTTTCAGTTTATCCTTCACAGAGATAACACTCTGGCCCATGACGCGGATTTTACTCAGGGTCGGTTTTCCGTGCAGCACAGTCACACCCACCGAACCTTCCACTTGATGATCTCCTCAGTGAGGACTGAAGACAGAGCCACTTACTACTGTGCCATGAGCCCACCACGGTGATGCAGGTGCCCAGGAAGTCTGTGCACAAACCCAGCACAGCCTGCCTTTCGGAGCAGCTCACATCATTGGACATGGCACTTCTTCCTAGTCACGTGTGTGCCAACCTGGCCTTATAGATGCCCTACCCTGTCTGCTGAATAATAAGGTGCCTGTCCCATCCAGGGGAGCACGCTGGCTTCAGATGGAGCAGAGCATCTCCCATTTCTGACTCGGTGTCTCCTTGCTACCTGAGCTCCTTCTGTGGGGAAAGGTGAACTGAATGTCTGAGGGATTGTCATCTTTGTGTCCCCGGCACCCAGGTCATGCCTGATAAAGAGTGGGCATGACAAGTACGTGCTGTGTGTGCTGTGAGGGTATCAGCATGATGCAAGCGAAGGGCCAGTCTAAGGAGAGCCCATCAGAAGTGTCCTTATTTTAGTCTCCATCACTTATCCATTCTTGTGAACTGCTCTATTTTCTTTTTAAGAATCAAATTGGACTCAAAGTTACCTACTTAAACACAGTTCCCCCAATTTACCATTTGTCCTGTGTCTTCTAGTGCAGCCACTTTATTTCTCCTGGATGCCCGTTGACACCTCCAGTTCACTTACTTCATTTGGGGAACATTTTTCTTTCACTGAAGAGCATTGAGATATTCCCAGAAACGTGTCTGTGAATCCCAGAACTCTAGCTTGAAAGTTCCCGAGTTTGGAGGTCAGTGGTGTCTCCAGGGAAGAGAATGAATGACCTCTGGGGAAACCAACTATGTGATGTCAAAATAAATACACCCTCAGCCTGGGAGTCGGTGTCCCCTTCCTCTACCTCCACTGAATTCTCTGCCATGTGACAACTATTAGAGTTATTATGTGTAATCTTAGAAGTAGTGGAAGTCTCAGACATTGTTTTATAGGAAATACAGCGAAGCCCAGAGAGATGAAGGCTGTTCCCAAGGTTGGATAGTTGGTTAATGACAGAGCCAGGCTGCTGTGCTGCCTTTCTAGGCCTCTCTCTCACCGCTGCAGCCTAGGAGGCGTTACAGTTGATGGTTGGGCAGCAGTTTACCTAGGCTTTAAAACAGACAAGTGAAGAGCAGTCACTGTGGAGAGGAAGGAAAAGAACAGAGTGAAGGAGCCAAAGGCCTTGGGCAAATGACTCAGCCTCTAGGGCTTCTGTTCTGCTGCCTACTGAGTGCGTAACAGTCTCCCTCAGGGCTCTCGTGATGCTGCCTGTGAAACTATAATTCACAGTGTGATGGCCCCAGATCTGAAGGCAGCCACAGCCCCATCTGGCTCCTGCCTTCAATCTTTTCTGAAGGCTCCTGTTGGTGGAAGAAATTCATAATCCTGTGATGTGCTAGGATGTCTTTTTCTGATGATCAAAGTGGGCCAGAGGCTGGCTCATTCATATGCTAAATAAAGGATAATCCTGTATTTAGACAATCTGGTCTCGCTGAAACTTCAAGTCAACACCTAGCTCTTGTTTGGGGGATGCAGTGTGCTATTGTAGGGGAACTTGATAACTTGGTTCTGCTCTCAATAATATCCCTGCCTCACTGGATGATTTGGACAAGGTACAGACCTTTTTGGAGGGATATATATATATATATATATATATATATTTTTTTTTTTTTTCCATTTGAAAAATGAAATGTGATATTTTGTTCTTAGTAACTTCAGAGAAACATTTTAATGTGACTCAAGGTAACAGATGTGAATGTTTTGGAAACAAGCATTCTTTACATATACAAAATGAAGTTGTGTGGAATCTTTTCATGGTTTTTACCTGGATGGACCTGGTTTATCCATTTAGATTGTCCTCACCCCATTGACTCAGAGTGCTACTGCCTCCTTTCTTTGATTTAGGCTATGAGGACATGATGTGGGAGTTTGCTGATGGTGATGGCAAGGGAGTTGCTGGTGAGGGGTGCTCTTTCACTTGTAACCTCATAAGCCCCCACTTGACACCCATGTGGGTGCTGAGGAAACCACAATACTGGGTTGCTAGGGCTCTGCTACCTAAGTGCATGCACCTGGAAACAGCTGTGGCCTTGCTGAGGGGGGAGTAGCAGAGCTCATGGGCTATCCTGGGGACACTGCTGTTGTGAATTGCTGTAGCAGAAGCAGTAACAACAGGAAACCCAGGGCTGGGCCCCTGAGGCAGAAAGCCTGAAGGCTGGGGCCTCAGGAAGCTGGGGTTTGACCAATAAGCTTAGTCTGACCAACAGTGAATTCATAGCGCCCTGTGGTAAATTTCTGCCTGTGGTGGTCACAATAGGGCAAAGTCAGAGGTGAGGCACACACAGTGCGCTTTAACAAATACAACAGAGACAGGTCAGAGAAGAATGGCAGAAAGCCATCCATACCAAAGGCCCAGGCCAGAGTCAGTGTCCAGTGACCTCCAACTCTCCATGCAGAGACTGGCAGGCAAGAGAGAGTGGATACACGGTTTCTACAGGGAAAATCTAGGGCTCTCATTTCTATCCCTCCCTCCAAAAATACCTACATAGTGAGTTGCTTGAAGGCAAGCTCCTGTCTTGTTCATCTTTGCACCCTCAGCACAGTGCCTGGAATTTTAGAGGGAGTCAATTCATGTTCGTTAAATGAATTAATAGAAAGAAGTGCATTTCCTCTGTCTTACTCTGATCTCTGTGAGTGACTTGGAGAGTATTTAGATGATATTAAAATACCCGCATTGCCTACACGGAGAGTGTTAGGGAGTCCAATGTAATTTTGTTTGTAAAGTAGTAGAAAGAGCAGAAAGTGCTTTTGTGGATGAGATGCCAGTTTGGGGCCGATCTAGTGCTGGGTTGAGCAGGGCCTTTCATGTTAAGGTAAAGGACACCTGCCTCCTTCCCCCCAGAGTCTGCTTTCCTCTTGGAGAACAGAGCTGGGAACCTGTTGGCTCCTACTTTCTAGTCCTGAAGGCAAAGAAAGTAAAAGGAACAAGACACCATTTTCAAAGTGTATCAATTGTAGAAATAAAAAATGAGCCCTCTGTCCCCTTTTATCTCTATATCCATTTATAAAGCAGCATATAAAGCACGCAGTACCATAACTCTACCCCCCAGGACTTTGTCTTTCCACGAGGCTGGAGGATGAGCTGGGTTTGTTGCCTTCAAAGAGAAACTTGTTTGGGAAGCAGCCATTTAAGCAAGGCTGGGGCGGGTTAACTTGAATCACTGAGAAGTCAGAAGCCTTAGAAGCACTTTTGTAGGCTTTGGTTTCTTTCAGGAAGTGTAGCTGTCTCCTGCCTGTCAGCCTGCAAGTGAAGGAAAGTTGTCAGAGTTGATGTAGAGTCATAGACGGTCAGTGCTGCACGGAATCATAGCCGTACATGGTCTGGGGATGGCCGGTATGGGTTGTGGCTGTACCACTGCAGTCATCACTAATCAATCATGGCTATTTCTCTTCTACACATGGCAATAGTTCATCTATCAGTGTATCAGTGTTGGCACAAGTCATGAAACCCCATATGCTCTCAGTCATTCTTAACTCTTTTACAGATGCAAAAACCCAGACTGACAGAGGTGAAGCAATTTGGCTAAGGTAATGTAGTGAGCTAGTGACAAAGTCAGGACTGAAACTCAGATCTTTGACTCCTAGTGTGGTCTGTGTCCTTGGGGCTGTTGGTAAAACAGTCACCTGTTCAGGAATGACTGGGTATGCTTGCAGGTTGAGTAGGATCTGTCAAACACTCTAAGTCTAGGGTTGTTCCTAGATTGGGATCTGGGACTGAGGAGTATTTGGGGGTATTGGAGAAGGAGCTTTATAGGAAGACCTAGGCTCTGGTTTGAATTTCATATCTAGGTTTACATGAAGAGGGAATGCAAGTGATGTCTGGCAAATAATTACTGTCTCAGCTTCAACTTCAAATGCATCCTGAGTAGCTAGTAGTGGGCTGTTCATGAGTAGTGGGGGTATAGGCTCACCTCAGTGATGGGCTGGTCTACGCATCCGAGTCCTATGATTAAAGATTGGGAGCTGGCATACCCTTTGTCTGGGCAAAGACAGATTCTGCTCCACCTGAATATTCTTTAGATAAGGCTTTACTGCTGGCTTTGTAAGTAACCAATGGTCCCGTGGCCAGATAAACAAAAATAGTCAAGTGAAGAAGACTAATTCTCATTATTTAGCTCCAATTTTTTAGCTCCTGCATTGGAGCTGGGGGTTATTGACTGGTATTACATTATACTACACAATGGGTTTGAGTCTGGCTTGAAATAAAGGATAACAGGGAGTGGGGTATTGTTATGCTGAGCATCTGAGATAACTCCCCTCATTAATTTGAAATATGTGTCTATGTATTTTTCCCTTTCCAATGCTTCTTGGTCTCTTATAATTTCTAAACCGCTATTCTCCCCATGTGCAGCATAGTTCGGGTGGAGGTAGGAATAAGAAGCAGCTAATTCTTACCTTAACAGAAAAGTAACTTGGCAGTCAAGAGAAAATTGACAGCAACAGTCTTGGCAAACAGCACTCGGAGCCCCAGCACTGTGAGGGACATCATGTTCACCTTCTCGGCATGAACTGTGGTTGAACAAGAGTGAAGATGGTGGCTTCCTTGAGAGAATAAATTCCCTTCCAGGAATTGGGCCCCCAACACTGACACCAGTCTGCCCCAGATCACCATTATTCTTCCTGGTCTGCAAGCCCAGCGTGGTGCCTCAGTGACCACAGGCTGCTGCTTACACCCAGCTCGGCAGGCAAGCTTTGGAAACCCATGCTTGCAGCCCAATGTCTGCTGGAGAGTCAGAGAAAACAAACTGGGCTCAAACATGGTTTTTGTTTTCTTTTGAAATCTGGTGATTTTTGGCCCCAGAGTTTGCTTTACCCCTCAGTTGTGAAGCTGGTCCTTTGATTTCAACTAACCTTTGGGTTTATGGTAGATCTCTGAAGTTTGGTGTTTTTTTTCAGGTTCCATTGGTTTTAGATGATCTGGAATAAACAGAAGTGGTCAAGATTACATCGGCAACCAAGAGGCTCAAAGGATTTTAGGTTTTAAAACTGGAGATGTAAGGAAGTTAACTGAGGACCAGAGGTGTGACTTGGTTAAGGTCATACAGCTATTTGCACAGCCAACATTTCTACCAGTTAGGGCTTGCTATCATTATACCATGAAGCCATTATCCAGGCATGCCTCTAATTTGTAGGAAGAACTAGGATTCTTAACCCATGAGAGGCTGGGCTGCCTTTCGTTTTGGGCTTCACACTAGATTAGACTTCACTTGGATTTTTAACTCCAGAGTCTAGTAGTAGGATAATCATTAGTATAAAGGGGACAGTTGTTGGTGAAGAAGAGAGATGGCGATGAAACAGATGAATTTTGTCTTAGATTCTAACTCAAAAATGGAGAAAGTTCAATTTCCCAGCCAATGACAGGGTATAGTTGGGCCTATGTCTTGTTTCTAGCATGACACCATGTTGAGAGCTATTTGTCAAGAGTTTACATTTCTAACTTCCCTTTCCCTAACTTTTCTCCTCCACAATCCCAGACCCCAAGGCCAGATACGACCTACCTGAAGAATTTGTCATCTTTTCAAAGTTAGCGGAGTACCAGATTTTATTGTGTTGAACTGAACATGTCACTGAATTAGAATCTTCATACCGACCAAGCTTGACAGCACTGTACTTCCCACTGGGAGAGACGACGATAGCAGGGTCAAATTCTATTATTTTCTTGGATGACTGGAGACTTATATCTACATTTTTGGGGTAGAAATCCTTCACCAGACAAGCAACATTGGTCCCATTTTTCATGATGAAAACAGATGGTTTGGCAGGAGGCTGATTTTCTGCAAATATAATCAGTTTATTTCATGAGATGATTATCCACAATATGTTAGAGTTTGCCTCAGTTTCCCTGGTGCCAAACACTACAACCCATACTTCGTCCTGTTAGTAACCCGGGCTTGTTAACACCTCCATGAAAGAATGGCCAAAGGGAGCAGAAATGAAAGTCAGTCAGTTTAAATTCAAGTTAAGAGCTGCTAAGAGATATGGCTGGGAGCAGAGATGGAAAATAACAGCTACAAAAAAATTTCTGGATCATCTGAGTTTCAATGATCTATCCTTAATTAACCAATCCGCTGGACAATCAAGGTCAGGTTGACTACCTGTCCACATCAATTTGTTTATTTTAAATGCATGGGCCTTCAGAAGGAAATCAGGGCAGGTGTTCATGCTTTAAGTTATGTCGATTAAAGAATCAAGGGTATGAGAAGGACTACATAACTGGTTCAAACACTCTGAGGATGGTAGTGTTGGGATCACTTCAGGGTGTCGCCTCCATTTTATGGACTGGAAGGGATCTGCTGAAGTTAAGTGATACATCTCTCTGTCTTTAGGTGAATACTTATTCTTTTGTAAGAGTCTACCCTATAGTTTCCTTTCAGTCTTTAATCAAAGAATAATAACTATCATTCTCAGGAAGTCCTCATAGATATAAAATCAGTTGAAGTCCATTGTTCTTGTTTTATTCTAAATGGAGCTCTAGAATGTTGGTCCCAATAATTGGGTCTCCTCCTAGCCTTCTCTCCTGTCATGCCTCACCTCAATTTACCGTCTGTCTGCTATGCTGTATGTGCATCTTTTATCCCCTTAAAACCAAAAGTCTTGAAGCTTTGAGGGTGGTAGTAAAGATTCTTTTGCATTGTGCCTTACTGAAGTTTCTGAATTGTGATACATTTTGTGTCCATGGGGACTTAAACTCTTAGGCTATCTTAAAATAGATGCTAAAAAAAGAGCTCTGCAAACACCTGAAATCAAAAAAGACATTCAACCTCTGAATGGTGTCTGGATGCGTTTCCAAAGGTAAGCTTAACTGCTGATTTTCAATGTTACTAGCTTGTGTGAATATGGCCCTTAGTGTTCAAAACTTAGTTGAGTTTGGCTTCTTAATATCAAATTAAATAATGTTGAATTCCAGTGTACTTTTATTTACTATGGTCTATAATCAAGACATAAGGTATTGCTAAACAAAAGTCTTGGTAATGAATGTGGATATGGAATAATTTTTCTGGTGTTCTTGTCTATCCTGACTCTGGATTTGGGTTTCAGCTGTGAAGCTCACGGTAGCAGAGCTATAACCTAATCAATCAGTTATATCTGGTTGAGATGGAGTGGTTGCTTGTCAGGAAGTTCCTGCTGATCACCATTTTATAAATGGACCATGGCTGATCAGGGCTTTCCTAGAGAATCATCTATTCAGAGAAGGCCCCTCATCACTACCATCACAATTCTCCCCCCGCCCCTTCTGCTAGGAAGCTCTACTAAAAGACTGGATTCTATTACAGTCACACTCAGGGCAGGAAACTCATTCCTAAGAATCTAGTTTCTTATATTTTTTGGCATTAGGTCTAGACAAGAGAGGGATTGGGGACTTTTTAAAGGGCTCTCCTGGAAAATGCTTTCAACCTACGTGAGAACCCAAGCCACTGATAACAGACACTGATAACCCTAGCGGTAACGGCTTAGAAACCACATGCTCTGCTCATTCCCCTCCCTTTGGAACTTTGACATTTCTTGCTCACTTATACTGACTTTGGTTTGAGATATATTCCAGTTGATTTTCAAGGGAGTTATGAATTACAGAAAAAGGAAACTTGTCTATTAAAAAACAGAAACAAAAAAACTATCTCCTTGGCTACTTAAGCATATCATCCGATCCTAGTCTGATTTAGTTAGCTAATCAAGGCTTGCTTGGGATTTAAAAATCTACATTCAAAGGCAGTTGTCAATGATCGCTTTGGGCTGGAGAGACCTGGTATGAATAATTTGAACAATGTAATATAGCTGGCAACACAGGTGTCTGAAGGAGTTCGTCCACTTTTAATATTGAGCTCTGAATCTGTTAGTCATCATTTCAGATAGAGCACAGTGTATTGATTTGGTAAAACAGTTTTCTCAGATGCTTTCTCAGTCAGTGTCTATATATTCAAAACAATTGTTTGAAAGTAAACTGGTTTATCTAACCATGGTAACCAAAGAAAAGGCTATTTGATTGGGTTGAACTTAAAAAAACAACAGAACACATTAAATATAGTTGCCATATGTGACCTGGTCTATTCTTATATTTAAACCAAAAACTTGAAATTGTATAAAATTTGCACTACTGTAGGCTAAAACTTAAAGATTTAATTAATTGTTTATCTTTTGAGAATTTCTAGTTTTTCTTCTTGGTTCACAAATATAATTACATTTCAACATGTGTTTCAAAGTGTTATTTGTTTGGATAATTGTTATCTTATTTTCAGACTTTCTCTTTTTATGAATCCCAGTCCAATGCTAAGGTTATGTGCTGGTAAACAATATGAAAAGAAGTGTATACTGTTCCTAAACAGTCTTTCTACATTTTAAACTTAGAAATAATTTAGGATTTATATCCTAAATAGAGAGTCCTACTGGCTCCCTAAAAATTGCAACATCTATAACAATGTCACTCACAATTTCGAGGCTCTCTGCCAACACGAGAGTTAACTTGAGCACTAGAATGTCAGTTTGCTCTACCTGATTATTCTCACCAGGTTAAACACATGTGTCCTACATCTTCCAAGATGCAGGACATTTGTTTTCAGGTTGTAATGAGGCAGGCACATGAGTCAGGTTAACCAAAGGGATGTGTAAGGATAAAACAACTTCCTGGAGAATTTGGGCCCACGTTCTGCCTCTCCTGCACCCAGCTGCTCCAACTATTAGTATAATTTTTCTAGATTTCTTTGTGCTTTCTGGGCTGCTCTGAAGGTTTCAGAAATAAGTGGGAGCTATGGTTTTAACATATGTTTCTAAAAAATAAAAGCAGTTACAGAGCTACTTCAGTGACTCAACCTAATGTCTCCATTCCGGCCCATTTCACATCTCCTAGGTATACTTTCTCAAGTAATGCAAATTGGGTGGCAGCCCCAGCCCCTCAATTTATCCCCAAGAAATACAAGGGGAAAATCAACTCACGGGGTTCCACGAAGAGTCGGGTGCCAGCTCCGAAAAATATCTGTCGGGTGTCCCAGGAGCACATTGCGATGCTGCCTCACAGGTAACCAGCCCGGGGCTGGCCCTGGGGCCTGGGCTAGAACATCTGCATCCTGCCTCCCCAGCCTGCGCCCAGCCAAGAGACCCCCACAGCTCAGAGAACTACAAAGCTGTCCTTGATGAACTCAGGGGGCCATGTGCACAGAGGCTCAGTTTTCTTTGAAGCTAATAATAGTTGAACTGCTGGATAAGGATGTGAGCATGAAATCCCACCTGAGGAACACTGGGCTAGGACAGTCCGGAGAGAGAGCAAGACAGGAGGGTGACAGGTGACCGATAGCTGCCTTCAAGATGGAAATGTACTCCTGGCTTATTGGGAGACCTCTCTAAGAAAAACAGTAGCTTGGGAGTATGGATGGGGCATTGAATGTTGACATTTCTTATAATGAATGTTAGAACGTGGAATGTTAGACACAGGTCTTGTTCTCATATTCTGGCCCCTTCTCTTGGGTCACAAATGCTGCTTTTTAAAATTAGAAACCTAATTTCTCCCCTATCACTCATACTGAGTCTCACAATAAGAACAAATCTGCTTTCTAATTCCCTGAGCCCAGGAAAAGGCTTTTGAAGGACCTGAGGGTTGAACAAGAAATTGGCAGCTGCCAGAGGAGCCCAGTGGTGCTGCGTATTATGAATTCAGGTTGAAGGAGACTGTGCTTGCTCTGGATTGCTTGTTTTTGTTTTATAATTTCTCCCGACTCTGGGTCCAGATACAAGTTTCGGGAGGATATAGTAATCATGTGAAAATGAACTTAAACACCCTATGGATTTCTCCATCTCATCACCAAAAATCAAGAGTCTAGGGCTAGAGCCAAAGGGACTGACAGGTGTATAGGTCCATTATGTGCTGTCAAAACTTTAAGGATTGTGGGTTTGATTTGAAATTCCCACTCTCCTCACCTGAGCTTCATACCTCATGTTACACTCTATCACTGCTGGAAGGGAAAACCAGAGAAGTAAATAGAGTATCATTAGAGAGCATGGTCAGCGTCCTGGCAGAGGGGTTAAGTATCAGTTTCATCTCTTCTTTTCTAAAACTCCCAAAGGTGCAGCCACAGATATTTGATTTGAACAGTGCAGGTAATTCTGAATTTCAAATGGAAATAATTTCCCCCCCCCCAATCCTCACCTGAGGATATTTTTCCATTGATTTTTAGAGAGAGTGGAAGGGAGGGGGAGAAACACACACACACACACACACACACACACACACACACACACACACACCAATGTGAGAGAGACATATTGATTGGTTGCCTCCCACATGAACCCTGACCAGAGCCGGGGATCAAGCCTGCAATTGAGACACGTGCCCTTTACCAGAATCGAAACTGGGACCCTTCAGTCCACAGGCTGACACTCTATCCACAGAGCCAAACCTGCTAGGGCTCAAGTGGAAATGATTTAAAGGGAAAATTAAACATAATACTTTTTACTCAGATGCAATTTGACCAACATCAATCAGACTGCAATCAGCTACAACATAATTCTGTTTCTGTCCTTCCTTTGATTTCTCTAGTCTCTCTCCCCTCAAAGATAAGACAATTCACCAAATTCCACTATTTCCCTGGAAGCAACAGGCAATCAAGAACCTCTGGAAGTTTATATTACCCTCTGAGAGGCACACTACCAGTTGCTTTCTGGATTGTCAGCCTCGCCACATTCATGTACCTTTTCCCACTTCTTTACTTCCTCTGAAATGAAAAATAAAACCTAACAACATCTAATCATGTAAAAGGTAACATCTTCCCTATTGGACTTGGCATTT